GTAATCAAGCCAGTGGACCCAGAAGCGTTTTGACACGTCATTTTTTCATCATCAGTGAGCAGTGACTGGTGCTTTTCATGTGGTGTAAGGGATGTACAGTGCTTTTTTTTTGCTTTTAAAGACTAGAGCTAACTATGCTGTCCTTGTCTTTAACTGTTGCCAGGGAGAGTGGAGCTATCCGAAAACTAGCACACTAATCAAAGCCATATGACCGGCTCAAAGTAAAGTCTGTGTGGAGCGAACAGATGCAAAGTGTCCCTCAGCTTAGCTTCAAGTCTAGCACTCCCCCACTCTCCCCCTCTCTCTCTTTTTCACACACACATGCACACTGTTCCACTTTGATCAGGGAGTAGCTCATGAATCAGCTTTAGGTTCAGTTTATTATTTCATTAAACTGGCAGTGCTCTCTTTCTAATACCATGAGGCTGTGGGATCAAATAGCCCATAAGACGAATGTCACAAGTCAGATGCAGCATTTTAGACAATAACTCCCTCCCTAGAAGTCTAAATTCACCCAGATCTCCACATGAAACCCTGAACAGGTGATAGAAATAATACAAAGAACTGGGGGATATTTCTCAGACTAAACTCTAATTCTTTCTGTCTGCTACAAAGACAGAAAGAGAAAGAGGCAGGCATTCCTTTCTCAATTTCCCCAAATAAACAGCGTGCAGATGAAAAGTGGGAACATAAACAGGCCGGAGAACCTCGGATGTGCTCCCCTCGCTCTGAAAATGTGCCTCTCGAGTCTGAAACAATATTTAGTGAGAGAGAGAGCTGACTCGACATGAAGTGAGTCAGCCAGCAGCACTGGGAACAGAGCACAGATGGTAGTGGAAGGTTTTTCTCTTTCTGTCTTTTATCATATTTATTTCTGTGCAATTCTTATCTTCCTGTAGGACTGCCAACAGTCCAAAACCACCAAAAATATACTTGGTTCTCTGTCACGTAAGATGAAGAAAAGCAGCAAAGATGGAGCCGTGAAAAATGTCAAAATACCTGCCAATTATACACAGCGGAGGTTTGCAGATCGTTGGTACCGTCGTTAGTCGCGCGATGGGGCTTGGGGAGACAGAAAGATTGGGATCATGCAAATCTAAAAACCTCAGAAACTAAACTCATAATATTCCTCCCACCAGCCAATGCAAACTAATACAACACACACATGATAGTATCCGGTATAGAGGATATGTTCATTCTTCTCATAGTGTCTAGTATCTCCATACAGTAAAAAGAAATGATGCATTTATATGGACTAAAAGAATGATGCTGCACAAAGGATGCAGCAGACATAAACCTGCAGAAGTCTGCAAAGTCAGCTGATCAAATAACTCATTAAAGACTTGTATTCAGGTGCATACAAATCCTACAGCTTAATTACATCACCTGTGTTACATCTAAAACTGAACTCGTATTTAATAACTATATATCTTCTGTAACTTGTTGCAGAATTGCTGCAGTTCTTTTCCATCAATGAGAAGTTGCAGGTTGCTCCCCCAGCCGGTGAACGACACAAGGCCACTTGTACCTGATCTCTGCTGTGTGCGGCCACATCATCCCTTCACTGGCCTGCACGCACACACACACACACACATATACACGGATGCACACACACTGACTGCCTTGTCATCAGCCAATGAGGAGATCCCAGCCAATAACCAAGAGCTCTTGAGGAGAAGAGCCAACCCAAAGATAGATTTTAGGAGGAATACTACACAAATACCATAAGACAACATTAAGTCCACAGAGGTGCATATAATGACCCTGTGACACCACAATGAAACAAAATCAACCTGAAAGACTGAAAATAAAAGCGACAGTCAAAGTCTGCAGACACATTTCTGGAGAAAATTGGCGTTTTAGAGTTGAGAACAGCCTCCTGCCAGCATCATGTCATGACCGCTTTCCCTCCAGAGTTGTGCATGAAAAACCCGAGAGGGTGGCCGGGCTCGCTGACCTACCTTCCCGTGTCCCCTTGCAGAAGTTTCCGCTGTGAGTCTGTCCTCTGTCCTCCGCAGCGGAGCGGAGAGGAGGCGGCGCCGGTGGGTGACTGAGGAGACTCAACTTCTTCCACTTCCAGAACCAGAGAGCCACAGTTTCATGTCAATTCCCCCACACTTAAAATATTACACTTCCGGTTAAATCTTGCAAAATAAAAGCCGTATCTGAAAGGGTTTGGGGGTAAAATAAGGAGCTGAATTGAGGACTCTGCTTACTAATGTGCATACTCTTTGCGCTTTTTGTATTAGGCTACAACTATGACATTTATTGACTATTGACAGCTTAAAAACATCCACATGTGTGTTAATGATGCACAAAACAGCCCCATGTCTTTCTCAATTATCCATATTATCAATTAACAAACTCCAGTTTATTGTTTATGTACTTATTTCAGTGCCTGCACACACCGTCCCGTTTGGATCATTTTTTATTTTCTGAGTCTGAACCCTCAGACGGTGGATCCAACAACAGTCAGTGAGGGTACAGAAGCTATTTAAAGGAGTTTAAGTAAGTGTTTAAGGTTTTCCTGTATCTGCACTACTGACCGCAGTGTAGTGAGTGATTGCAACACTCAGATGTTCCCAAAATGTTCCCAAAAGTAATAAATCTCGCAGATTTAAATTTTTTTGGAGCATTAACGCCTTTAATAAAGTTTCACATTATTATGTTATTATGTCTTGATTAAATCAGAAAATAGGTAAACAAAAGAAAAAAAACCTAGCAGAATTATCATTATAAACATTAAATTATATTATTTCAACCTTTTTGGGAGAAGAGAAGCAAATGGAGCCATAAATCAATTTCATACGGACTCAAAAATAACCCAAATCAAACCACAAGACATGTATCAAACAACGTGGAAGGGTGTTTTTTTAAATCAATGATTAAATTAAGGTAAAACAGTTATGGTCGCCAAACTTTTTACCACATAACCATCATCTCTTAATGCTCTGCTGTGATGATTCAAAGTTAAAGTAAAAAGGGAGGAGCCAAAATCAAAGTGCAAACCTCTAATTCTAACAAATCTCATTGTACATGTGACCCAGTCAAGAGCCTTTGAAAGAAAAGCCCACCGCTGAAATTTAAGTTACTATTACTGCTGTTTTTTATTTTGAAGGCACACATCTTCTTTTCCGGTTTTGTTTTGTCTGACTTGATTCGGTGGGATCCTGCTGATTGGCTGCCTGATCTACGACTCCAAGGACGCAGCTGCAGCCGGTGAGGTGGGGGTTGTGTGTCTGTGAGTGAGTGTGTGTGTGTCTGTGTGTGAGTGTGTGTGTGTGGGGTGTCATTGGTACTGTAGGTATTGCACAGGTTTTGTGAGTCGGTGTGTGTACGTGTCATAATGGTTAGTAGCCTATGATAGACCACATATAAAAGAGGACAGACGTTATTGTAATGTCACTAGATAATTTGTGTATCACAAGCCCACCACAAGTTTACAGGAAATACAATGAGTGTTAGTTAGATTAGCCTGATTCTGTCCAAAGGTAAAATAAAATCTACCAGCACATCTAAGAAATAGTTGAGGACCTCCTTGTGAAACTTGTCTTGTTTTAAACTGTTTTATGGATGTTTTTGGATTAAACAAACAGGATAAAGTGTGTGAATTTTCTCAGGTCAGGTATAGTAGATGCACATTTAGGCCACGGACCCTCAGTTTGAGAAGATTTTGTCTGTATTTGAGTATTTTTCAAATTTAAGATTATAACCTCTTTATAGTCAATCTAGGATCACTATAAATTACAATCCGTAAAAACAGACCGAGCCTATTACTTACCAAAAAATGTGATAAAAGTTAAAATATCCTATTCGTCCTTTTGCTTTGGAGCCCCTACAAACCACTGAAGGACCCCTGTGGAAAAAATGAACTTTAAAAGTGCTGGTAGAGTAGTAGACCTCAGGTGGTCATCCTCAGCACTGCCCCCCCTCCTACACTGCTTTGTGATTGTGTGTGTGTGTGTGTGTGTGTGTGTGTCATTGTCTCTAACCCCCACTTGTTCACAG